ACCAAGAAAATATGAGATAACGATAACATGCAAAAAGAAGAAAAAAAACAGCTGACTGACAAGAATGCAAAAAAAAAAAAAAAAAAAAAAACAATAAAAAATAAAAACATCCAATTACATAAATAAGGAAAAGAAGAGTCAAGACAGATAACAACAACAAATGATAAACAGCAACAACAAGAGCGTAATCACAGTGACTTGCCTGCTAAAACCGACTTACCTTGACGTTCCCGCCTCACTATACAAACAAACACAATACTTATAAGGCGTCTAGGTCAACCGGACTCTCCCCCCCCCCCCCCAAAAAAAGAGAGAGAATGAATAAAAGAAGAAGAAAAAAAAGATGTTTTTATTTGGACACTGACAAGGTTATGGCGTTAAGCATCTTATATGGATTTCCTGGTCTTGCCTTATCGAGTTTAAATACTTGGGGACTTTTTTTTTGTCTCTCTCTCCGCTCCCCTCGTGTGTGTGCGTGTTGTGCGGTGTGTGTGTGTGTGTGTGTGTGTGTGTGTGTGTGTGTGTGTGTGTGTGTGTGTGTGTGGTGTGTGTGTGTGTGTGTGTGTGTGTGTGTGTGTGTGTGTGTGTGTGTGTGGTGTGCGTGTGTCGTAATTGTCGTACCTAGTCTGTCTATTTATGTCTCTGTCTCTGTCGAGGACTTGTTTCTGTTTTGTTTATTTTGTCTCTGTCTTCTCTCTCCCCCTCCCCCCCCGTCTCTCCCCTCCCTTCCCTCCTCTCCCTCCTCCCTCCCCCTCCCTCCCTCCCTCCTCTCTCCCTCCTCTCCCCTCCCCCCCTCCTCTCTCTCTCTCTCTCTCTCTCCCTCCTTTTTTTTATCAAGAAGGAAGGGAGAGGGAGAGCATGTTTTACCCAAGACATACAAACACGAGGAACTTGATGATGTCCACACGAGCGATGTTTGCCAATGTTTATCCTGCTCGACCGATGTTTGCCAAAAAACGTCTTGGCAGAATTAGAATTTGCTAATGACATTTTTTTTTCTTCTTCTTCTTCTTTCTTCTTCTTCTTTGAATTTGTTGACTTTTTTTTTTTGAGAGTCGAGGGTTACGTCAGGTCTTCTGTCTTATCTCTTCTTTTCTTCGTTTCTTTTTATCTTAGTTTGCTCCTTTCATCTCTCTTTCGTCTTCTCATTATCCTTCTATTCCTTCCTCTTTATCCTCGTCAGCATCTTTCTTTTTCCTTTTGCATTCCTCCCTCCTCCTCCCTCCCTTCCTCCCTCTCCCTCCCTCCCCTCCCTCCCTCCCTCCCTCTCTTCTCCTCCTACTCGTCAATGCCATCCTCCCCCTCTTCCTCCTCCCTTTCTCCGACACTTCTTCTTCTCCTTCTCCTTCTCCTTCTCCTTCTCCTTCTCCTTCTCCTTCTCCTTCTCCTTCTCCTTCTTCTTCTTTCTTCTCTTCTCTTCTTCTCTTCTTCTTCTCCTTCTTCTCTTCTCTCCTCCTCCTCCCTCCTCCTCTCCCTCCTCCTCCTCCTCCTCTCCTCCTCCTCCTCCTCCCCACGCCCTTCTTAGGAAAATGTGATAAGCATGACCTGCAAGTCCCTTTTGCCTTGCGTGTCCAATGACCCCCCCACCCAGCCCCTCCCCCTCCCTCCCCTCCTCCCTCCCCCCCCCCTTTTTTTTTACCTGTCTACGCTCAGGTGTTTGATCTTCCCTTTTAACTCTTTTATCTTTTTTTTTTTTTTTTTTTTTGCCTTCCTTTACTCAATGAATTTATTATTTTATTTCTTCCATTATTGTATTTTTCTTCTTCTTCAAATCAGTTCTCTTAAAAATATTTCTCATATAAAAAAGCTGCTTCCCTTCTTCGTAAAAAAAATCCCTTCATCGAATTAATAATAATAACAATAGTAATAGTAATAATAATAATAATAATAATTAAAAACAAAAAAAAACACATCAGAAAAAATAGAAATAAAATAAAAACAAAAATAAAAATAAAATAAAAGCAAAAAAATATAAATAAAAACAAAAATAAAATAAAACAAAAACAAAAATAAAATAAAAACAATAAAAAAAATAAATAAAAACAAATAAAATTAAAAAAAAAATAAAAAAAAAATAAAAATAAAAACAAAAAAAGAAAAATAAAAAAAAATGAATAAAAAATTAAAAAAAAAAAAAAATAAAAAAAAAAAAAAAAAAAAAGCTCCACTCAAATATGCAGTCCGCGCCCCCCTGCCCCGCCGGACGCCATCCGCGGCGCCGCCCGAAGGGACTGAGTGAGGACAGAATCCGCGAGCGGCCGATGCAGGTGATGACGCAATCGACACCCCATTCACACCCGCGCCTCGTCGCTAAATTGCTCTCTCGCCTTTTCTGTCTGCTTCTCTCTCTCTTCTCTCTTTTTTTTTTTTTTTCTCTCTCTCTCTTTTCTCTCTGTCTCTGTCTCTGTCTCTGTCTCTGTCTCTTCTCTGTCTCTTGTCTCTTCTCTTGTCTCTTCTCTGTCTCTCTCTCTCCCTCCATCCCTCCCCGTTCTTCTTTCTTTTTTCTCTTCTCTCTCTCTCCTTCTCTCTCTTCTCTCTTTCTTTCATCTTTCTTTCTCTCTCTCATCTCAGTTCTTTCCCATGAATTTTATTCTATTTTTCCCCCTCATCTTAATTCTTAACTAAACCTATTTCTTTTCTCTCTACTTCTTTCTCTCCTTTATTCATTCTTCCCCGCTAAATGGATTCCTTTTTTGCCCTCCCCTTACCCACACAACCCCCCCTTTCTTCCCCTCCCTCTTATCCCCCCTCAGATACCCTCACGTGTCTTAACTTCCTCTTTCTCCTCCTCTTCCCTTCCCCCACTAAACACCTCCCATCCCCCCCTCCCCCTATCCCTTACCTTCATCCTTCGACCACGTTTGGCCTCCGTAGCCCCCCTCCCCCCCTCCATCCTCCTCCCCCCGAAGACGACGCAGAAGCCCCACCCCACCCCAAGGAGCCCCCGCGCCCGACGAGGACTCCTCCCCCAGGCCGGGCGCGGGGTAGGCTCATCCGCCAGCTCGGCCGCCGGGAGATCCAGCGAGTCTTCTGGGTCCCGGCCGAGCTCCTCCTCGCCTCCGAGCACATAAAAGTCACTTACCTAGAGCCATAAAAGCCGCTTTAGCACCTTTAACTAATGCTTGATTAGTCTTACCTAAAGGTTGACAAACGAGTCTCGCATAAAAAAGCCGTTCGCAGTTTAGAATGAGAAGTACACGGGGGAGGGGGTGAGGGTGAGAGGGAGGGGGAGGCATCAAAGCCAGGCAGTCTTACACGGCTCCAACACGCCTGTAGCACATAAAAAAGGGAGAAAATGCGCGAGCAGCAAAGGACGCAGCGGAGAAATTATATACCAAGGGTGCAGAGGACAAGCTGTCAGGCGACACGGCGCTCAGGCCGAGGGGAAGCGAGCGATGCAAGCAGGCCACGCACTCGCCAGCAGGAGGGCGGTGCAGGCGCGGCAAGAAAGAGAAAAGGACTTACTAGGCAGTCGAGTTGCGACACGGGCGTCTTGGACCCGGGCTGGCTGATGTCCCACACCTTGACGCAGCCTTTGCCGCCCGTGTACACGTACTTGGTGGGGTTGCTGATGGTGACGGCGCACACCACCTCGCCGTGGTGCAGCGTGTTGATCTGCCGCGCGTGCCGAGGAATGCCCGGGGCCAACAGCGCGTCGGGCGGGAAGGGCACCGGCGCCAGCTGGCCCTCGCCGCTCACATGGAAGCTGTACGCCCTGCCCAAGACACACGCACGCTACGGTGAGTCACACTCCCACTTGTGTCTGAATTCAGCACGCTCCCACTGTCCCGGGCTGTAGAGTCGGGAACACTTAAGTTTGCCCAGACCAAGGCTACCCCGGCTACTCAACACCCCCCAAGGAACCCGCAAGAATCTCCCTACAACATGAACAATGTTAGTAATGGCAATGCAAGTGAGTGGAGGGCAAACTAGGATATTCACGACTGCACAATCCCTTTATCTCCTTTTGTTCACTGCATATATTGCACTTGTGTCACTGAGGCACTGATCACAGAGGCACTGTTGGCACCATATGTCACGTTCAGGAGGGCAAGTGGGAGGTACTCACGGCTTGCCGCCCTGGAGGGCGTGCAGGGAGGACGTTCGCACGTGCATGTCCAGGGACGAGGGCGGGGCAGCCTGCGGGTGTGCGGGCGGCCTCGGGTACGGGTAGGGCGCAGCGGATCCGGCGGCGGCGGCAGCGGCGGCGGCGGCGGCGGCTGCGGCCTCAGGTAGAGCGTAGCCGGGGGGGTAGGAGGCTACCCCGGGGAGGGGGGCTGCCTTGCCCACGGGCTTGACTGAGCTGGCGCCCGAGGACGTGGGCGTGGGCGTCTTGGAGTTGGGCGTGGCGGGCTTCTCCTCCTTCCGGGCCTGCGGCGTTGACGACGAGCTTCCGGAGCTCCGCGGACTGCGACCAAAACAGACAGTTAGTGGGCGAAGGGACACGGCCGGCGGGCGGGCCGGACAGAAAGGGCGGCCGGAAAGGGAAAGCCTCCTCCTCTGATGCGCTCAACAGTCCTCTCAAGAGTGGAATGAAAACCTATGACCTCTTTTGTCTACTCTGTTCCTCAGGCAATCATCATGATCTCGGAATCACACCTTCACATCCTCTAAACATAAACTCACAAGGGAAAGCAGCGGCTCGGCTCACACACAAAGAATAATAATAATAACACTAATAATAATAACAATAACAATTTGCGGCAAGTCATATCAAACGTGAACACCTGAACTTGACTACAATTGAAACTCATTATGCAGTCTGTGTGTGTGTCCCTTTTTTCCTTTTCCTTGTTCCTCTCCTTTCCTACCTCCCCTTCCCCTCCTTCCCCTCTTCCCTAACTCCTAACTTCTCTTCCTCCCCCTTCCCCTCTCTTCTCCTACCTCACACTTTCCCTCATCACCCACCCCTTACTTCTTCTCCTTCTCCCTACTTCCCTTCGAATACATCTCCTTCCCCTCTTCTAACACCCCCTCTCCCCCCATATCCCGCCCTCCCCCTCTTCCTGGACCAACCCACCTAACAGAGCCCTCTACCCCCTACTTCTCCTTCGCCCCCCTATTTCCCCTCTCATCCTGCCCTTCTTCTTCTACCCTCTTCTTCCACCCCCCCCCACTTCCCCTGGACCAACCCACCTGGAAGAAACTCCTTCCCCCTTACTTCCCCTCTTATCCTGTCCTCCCCTCCTCCTCCATCCCTACTTCCCCTTATCCTCCTCCTCCCTTACCCTTTTCCTCTCTTATCCCTCCCACTCTCCTTCCTTCCTTCCTTACCTTCCCCTCACTCCCCTCCTCCTCCAAATCTACTTCCCCCTTCCCCTCTCCCCTACCCCTTCCTCCTTCCTTCTCCTCCTCCTTTCCTCCCTCCCTCCATCCATCCCTTCCTTAACCCCCCTAACACTCCCCTCCCTCCCTTCCCTCCTTCCCCCCCCCCTCCTCCCTTCTCCCTCCTTCCCTAACTCTCCCTCCTTCCTAACTCCCTCCTCCCCTCCCTCCTTCCCTTCTCTTCCCCCTCCTCCCTCCTCCTCCCCACCTCCCCCCGGGCCAACCCACCTGACAGAGCCTAGGGGCGGGGTCTTCTTGGCGACTCCATTCTCTCGCGGTGACGTGGTTCCGTTGACGGCCGGGCTCACCGAGTCCTGTTCGGATAAGAGATAAAAAAAGACGGTGATTAGGGATGAATGGGGGGGGGGGTGTTGATCGGGATGCTTAAATCTACGTTCAATCTTTTGTTTGCTTGTTTTGTCCTTTTTGTTTGTTTGTTTGTTTGATTTGTCCTTTTATTTGTTTTTGTGTTGTCTCTTTGTGTTTCAATTTTTGGTTTGCTTGTTTCTTGGAGAGATCAAGAGAGAGAAATCAGCAAGAGAGAGAGAGAGAGAGAGAGAGAGAGAGAGAGAGAGAGAGAAGAGAGAGAGAGAGAGAGAGAGAGAGAGAGAGAGAGAGAGAGAGAGAGAGAGAGAGAGAGACGAGACAGACAGAGAGACAGACAGAACAGAGAGACAGAGAAGACAGACAGAGAGATTAAACATCCCCCTCAAGACATCAATTCAGAAAAGGAGATAACACGGAGGCTGTGACAGCAAAGGTGAGAAGGGGGATCCAGACCTTATTGGGTCTTATCTCTGGACCGATTACCTGCCTTGGCCTGAGTAGGGATGGGATGGGGGGGGGGGAAGATAAGGAAGAGGGGAGGAGGAAGATGAGGAGGGAGGGAGGAGAGAGGAAGGGAGGAGAGAGAAGGGAAGGGGGAAGGAGAGGGGAGAAAGAGGGACAGGAGGGAGAAAGGAGGCAGAGGGAAGAGGAGGAAGATGGGGGAGAGAGGAGGAAGGGGGAAGGAGAGGATGGGGGAAGGGTGGGGAGAAAGGAGGAAGATGGGGGGAGAGAGGGAAGAAGATGGTGGTAGGGGTAAGAGGAAGGAAGGGAAGAGGAGGAAGGGGAAGCAGGAGGAGGAGGAAGCAGTGAGATGGATAATGAGGGACACAGACAGAAGATAAAGAAGACCAAAGTAATGCGTTTAAATATGGCTTTATGTGCAGCCACGTCATCCGCAGAAATGTATCCTGACTGTGCGTTTGCGTGTGCGTGGTGTGTGTGTGTGTTGTGTGTGTGTGTGTGTGTGTGTGTTGTGTGTGTGTGTGTGTGTGTGTGTGTGTGTGTGTGTGTGTGTGTGTGTGTGTGTGTGAGTCAGTCAGTCAGTCAGTCAGTCAGTCGTACGTCCGTACATCCGTGTGTACCTGTGTGTGTGTGTGTATCCATGTGCGTGTGTGGACCGACCCCCCCCCGACCCCACTCACAGCGACCGCGGATTCCACTGGATGAACAACACTGTTTAAATTCAATTAGGAGAGCTTGCGAGCCGTGGGGGGGGGGGGAGGCCTCGCAAGCTCTAAGGGGGGGTGGGGGTGGGATTAGGGGGGGTGACTGGGGGGAGGGGGAGAAATTTTTCCAACGTGGAAGGGGGAAGATGAGGAGGAGGAGGAAGGGAGGAAGGAGGAGGAGAGTGGGGGGTGGGGAGGTGGGGGGCGGGGATGGGGGGGGGAGTGTTTACACATTGTTAAAATTCAACCTTGATAACAGTGATAAAATATCATCATTATCTGCCTTCCCGCAGGAGAGAAATCATAAACACGATATCTGAATACACACACGAGCACGCACACACATACACACACACACACACGCACACGCACACATACACACACACACACACACATCGCACACACACTTATATCTCGCATACATACATACATACATATTAGACCACACATATATAAACTACATACATCACAAACATACATATACAACACATATATACAATTACACTATACATAATACATACACACATACACACATACAAAAATACATAACACAAATACATACATACATACATACACACACACATATATAAACACACACGCGCATACATACGCACACGCAGTTAATAAAAAAAAATAAAAAAAAATAAATAACAGGCAAGTGACGTCCAAAACTAATTAAATTGGCCGCCATGGCGCGAACGGGATATTTTAACGACTAATTGAACAGAATAAGACATTTTTGGGCCCGCTGTTTGTCCGCCCCGAGCGTGGGTGGGGGTAGTGGGTGGTGGTGGGGTGGGTGGGGGGAGTGGGGGAAGGTGGAGGGTAACACGTATCTGGATGAGGAAGGAGGGAGGGGGGAGGGAAAGAGGGAGGGAGAAGGGAGGGAGGGAGGGGGGGTGGGAGGAAGGAGGGAGGGAAGGGACAGAGAGGAGAGAAAAAGAGAAAGAGTGAGAGAGAGAGACAGACGGAAAGACAGAGAGAGAAAGAGAGAGAGAGAGAGAGAGAGAGAGAGAGAGAGAAGAGAGAGAGAGAGAAGACAGAGAGAGGGAACAAACAGAGAGACAGAGACAGAGAGAGACAAGAGACAAAGAAAGAGAGAGAGAGACAGAGAAAGAGACAAGAGAGAAGAGAAAGAGAGAGAGACCCCAAGAGGCAAGAGGGGGACAAACAAAGCCACAAAGGCCAAAACCTCAACCCCAACGAACCACAACAATATCAATAAAACGTTCAATTAAAAAAAAAAAAAAAAAACATCCGGGACCTTCCTTTAAAATCCACAACAAAATTAAACGAAAAATAACACCCCGAATATAATGATAAAAAAAAATAATAAAAAAATACGCACGCATATAAGAATGAAACGGAAAAAACGAAACTGAAGATAGAGAAAAAACGAAAAGACGAAACTGAAGAGTAAAAACGAAAAACGAAAAAAAAAACGAAATTGAAGAGAAAAAACGAAAAAAACGAGAGAAAACGAAAAAAAGAAACTGAAAAGAAACAAGAAAAAACAGAGAGAAAACGAAACTGAAGAGTAAATACGAAAAACGAAAAAAAACGAAACTGAAAACAGAGAAAAAAAGAGAAAAAAACGAAAAACGAAAAAAACGGAACTGAAAAAATAACGCAACAAAACCAACCTGAGAATCGTCCACAACCACATGGTGTTCGCTCTTCCCCCCATCTCTATCCTGGAACAGACGAAAAAAGGAGAACGTCAAAACCCAAAAAAAAAACGAAACCAAATCAAGCTAAAACGGAGAAAAAGAAAGAAAAAAAAAAACGTATTTCAAGAACGGAAGAGAACCAACCCCCCCCCCCCCCAAAGAAAAAAATACGGAATTGAAGGAAAAAATCAGAAAAAACAGAAGTTTCACAAAGAAAAAAACCTTCCCATTACCCCCCTCCCTCCCCTCCCCTGCCAAAGAAAAAGGCATCAACCCCCCCCCCCAAAAAACGAAAATGATATAACATGTAAACCTTAAAAATAGAACAAGAAGAAGAGAGGATGAAGGAGAACAGAACAAAGACACAAGAAGAACAAGTCCAGAAAAAAATTATATATATAATATATATATATAAATATAATATATATATATATTATATACATAATATATATATATAATAATATATATCTATATATATATATATAAAATAATATATATATATAATATATATATATATATATATAATATATATATATATTATATATTATATAATCGTTAAGTGAAGTACAATTGGAAAAGAAAATGAAAGCAAGGAAACAAAAATAAAAAATCTAACAAAATAATATAAATCAACTACGAATGCTTATAAAAAGGCAAAGAGAAAAAAAAAACAAGAAAAATACCGGTTTTAACGATTAACGAGTAGAATAATGGATGAAAAAAAACACAAAAAAACAACGTGCGCATAAAATAATAAATAAAAAAGAATAAAATCTCGTCTCGACATCCCGACGAAGAAAAAATCAGAGAAAAATACAAAAAAAATAAATATATTACATACTCGTTGAACTGAAGGTTGTGGAAGCGGATAGGAGAATTAAGGAAAAAAGAAAAAATATGAAAATAATTGTGAAAAGACAAAAAGAAACAAAATCACAATGATTAATGATGATAATGAGATAGTGTCAAGAAGAAAGAAGAAGAAAAGAAGAAGGAAAAGACGAGGAAGAAGGAAAGGAAAGAAGAAGAAGAAGAAAAGAAGAAGGAGAAGAAGAAGAAGAAAAAGAAGAAGAAGAAGAAGAAGAAAGGAGAAGAAAAAGAAGAAGAAGGAGAGGAGAAGAAACTATTGTGATGATATCATTATACAAATAACAAAAAAATATCCAAAAACACTAGAAACGGGATATGAGAAGAAAAATATATGTTAAATAAAAATAAAAAACACCACAGTTATCGCACGACGAAGGAAAACAGGGATACGAAAAGATACCCAATAATCGAAACGGGAAGCAGGAAGGAGACAGAGAGAGAGAAAGCAGAGAGAGAGAGAGAGAGAGGAGAGAGAGAGAGGAGAGAGAGAGAAGAGGAGAGAGAGAGAGAGAAGAGAGAGAGAGACGAGAAGAGAGCAGAAAGAAAGAAAGAAAAGAAAGAAAGAAAGAGAGAGAGCGAGAGAGAGAGAGAGAGAGAGAGAGAGAGAGAGGAGAGAGAGAGGAGAGAGAGAGAGAGACAGAG